CTACTGTAAACATGATGCTATCTTTACAAAGATAGTACCTGGAGACAGCGAGCGAGATAAGACGGGCGGTTATGAGGATCATAAAGCATGTGGATGCAAAATATTTTCGTCTCGTGGATAAAGCTGCAGCACGTTGGTGTAAAAAGTGTGCATTAGTTTTGCGGGTAAATGTTTCTTCAATGGAAAAGTTAGCGACACTTAGGTTTACGTGACAGTGGACTGTCAGTAGCTTATGGAATAGCAAATAGTCATCGTGACATTTTATAAAAAACAATCTCCAAAATGGGATCATTTTGTGCAAAAGGGTGCTGAGAGTTTTGCCTGCTTAATTCATTCTAATTGTTAGATGCCTGTTTTCAATTTGCAGCACGTGTTCATTAAATAAACTAACTGTATTATAATTCATTAAAAGAAGGTACTTGGAATAAAAGTTTCAATATAACTTGGTATTTGCGAGGGTGAGCTCTATTTTGGAAGTTAACTAATTAATGGATAGGAACGTACGATCAATAGAAAATAAAGTTGAAAATAAAGTTGAAGATTATTCAACTGAATAAAAAAAAATTTTTTTTTAATTCCCTTCTCACCCTCCGCGGGTGGTCTCTTTCATCCTCTGAGCTCGGGTCCTCTACCAGAGGCCTGGGAGCTTGAGGGTTCTGCGCAGTATCTTGGCTGTTCCCAGGACTGCACATTTCTGGACTGAGATGTCTGATGTTGTTCCTGGGATCTGTTTGAGCCACTGCTCCAGTTTGGGGGTGACTGCCCCGATGACCACAGGCACCACTGTGGTCTTCACCTTCCAGGCCTTCTCCAGTTCCTCTCTGAGGCCCTGGTATTTCTCCAGTTTCTCCTGGTATTTCTCCAGTTTCTCATGCTCCTTTTTCCTGATGTTGTGGTCACTTGGTATTGCTACATCCACCACAACGGCTTTCCTCTGTTCTTTATCCACCACCACAATGTCCGGTTGGTTCGCCATTACCATATTCTCCACTCTCTTCTACACCCCCCAAGCTCCAGTT